AAGCTGTTCCAGCAAAACTAAAAGCACCTGTTAGCATGACCTCAGCCAAGAGATTAAAGCTAACTTTGCAGGCAAATAGACTCAAATGCAGGCAACTTGAGTCAAAGGTTGAGGAGATGGAAAAAGAGGTTGCAAGGCACAGTGTTCATGTGCAGTCAGACCTCAGCCATGATCTGCTGCAATTGATCTCTAGACATGGGGGCTCAATGAGTCCCTTTATGAAGCTCTTTTGGCAGCAGCAGCAAAAAAATGCTTCAAGAATGCCTAAAGGGCAAAGATACCATCCATTGATAATTAGATGGTGCCTTTCTATAGCATCAAAGTCATCTGCAGCCTATGATGAGATTAGAGGAACATTTAAAGGTACAGGCACTATAGAGCTCCCTAGCAGGCGACAACTAAGAGATTATAGCAATGCTATAAAACCAAAAACTGGGTTTAACCCAGATGTCATCCAGTCATTGGAAACCATCGTTTTAGACTACAGGCCTACAGAGAGGTTTGTTGTTCTGTTATTCGATGAGATGAAGGTGCAAAGTGGACTTGTTTGGGATAAGACTACTGGAGAACTCATTGGATATGTGGATCTTGGGGATCCTGATGTCAACTATGCTACACTAGATTCCCAAGACAACATAGCCACTCATGCCCTTGTTTTTATGGTCAGAGGCATATGCAGCAAGTTACAGTTTGTATTAGGCTACTTTGCCACTGCTGCTGTCACATCTTGCCAATTGTTTCCGCTATTTTGGAAAGCAGTTGCAATTTTAGAACTACGTTGCAATCTAGCAGTTGTAGCAGCAACTGCAGATGGAGCAACTGCCAACAGGCGCTTTTTCAAAATGCATGAGGGTGTCAGCAATCATAATGAGAGAGATGTTGTTCACAAGGCTTCAAATATATATGCCAATGAAAGGTATATATTTTTCTTCAGTGATGCACCTACCTCTTAAAGACATGCAGAAATTGTTTGTTCAATTCTGGATCTGGACGCTATAGCAGATACTTGTGGAATAATGGTGATGAATTATTATGGGGTCACATTGCAAGCATGTATCATCAAGATCAGCAGAATGGTCTCCACCTTTTGCCAAGGCTTACATTTGATCACATAAAGCTGAATTCTTATTCCATTATGAGAGTGAACCTTGCTGCTCAAGTGTTGAGCAAATCTGTTGCAGCAGTTCTAAAGGAATTTGGTGGGAGGAACACACTGGCTACTGCAAAATACTGTGAAATGGTCAATGATTTTTTTGACTGTTTCAATAGCAGAAGTACCAATGAAAGTCATTTTCAAAGAAATAATAATCTCTCTCCCTATACAGATGTTGAGGACAAGAGGTTTTTGTGGTTAGAGAAAGATTTCTTAGGGTATTTTGCTTCCTGGAAGGACAGTATAACTAGAAGAGAAGGTTCTTTTGATGAAAGCTCACGTGCCAAGATGTTTATATCATGGCAAACACACGAGGGCATGAAAATAAGCATTTATTCATTGATTGGTGTGGTTCGCTACCTCCTTTCCAATGGTGTAGATTATGTGCTATCCAACAAATTGTGCCAAGATCCGGTGGAAGAATATTTTGGTCACCAAAGAGGACTTGGTCGCAGAAGTGACAATCCTAGTCTAAGAGACTTTGGGTACAATGATAACAAATTGCGAATCCAAAGATTCATATCCCCAGTTGAGGGAAATACCAGAGGAAGGAAAAGAAAGAGAACAGAGACAAAGTGGAAGACAGTCATTCCTGATCCAATCCCGAAGCGGAAACAACAAGCAAAAGGCAACATGTAATGAACTTTTTAATTGTTTTTAATCAACTAAGATACTTACACAGCTTCTGTTCACGCAATAACTTGCTATTTTCTAGTAAAGCAACTCCAATCTAATTTAAGGATTTCCAATTAAAAATTATTATTGCTGTCATCAATTGTTTTCATTTTGGCCCACCTCAAATTTAAAAAAATTAAGGAAATAAATGAAATAAGCAAATTTTTTAAATTTTTATTAAATGTCACTATAATATTAGACAGCAGCTTTAGTTTGTTGATTAGAATAGATATCATCATTCTATTCGTAAATTTAATGTAATTGTTAATTGTTTCTACAGTTTTCCTACATAACATCATACAGTTTCCTTATCTGCTACTAGACCCACTAGACTACATAAAAATGAGGCCAGAGTAAGATTAGATTGCCAATTCATATATATCTTCAGCAGTACATGTTTTTAATACCTAACATTACAATAGATTGTTTTGGTTATAGACCCTTTGTTCATTTCAGTTTTTCAGCTGGCTTTTCTGTTTCTCTTTGAATTTCCTTCCTCAGGGCTTTTGTTTTGCCTTTTTTCTGTTCAAATTTAAATTTGTTGACAACATCCTTAGCATGTGAGAATGATCTCACCTTCACATAGAGTGACAAAATATTTGTTAAAAGGTCTTTACTTCCAGCACTATCAACTTGAATGGCACAGCGTTCAGTCCACTCATGGTACATCCCTTGAACCTCCTGGTCTTTGTAAATCTTGTCAACAATAACTGCAAGTTGTATTGTCTTTGAAGAATTATTTACATGGGCAAGAAAATAGTTCTGCAATAGTAAAAAGTTTTTCAACAGTATCAGTAATTTTCCAAAGCCCACCACGATTCACTGCATCAACCAATCTTTGATAAGCATCAGTATCTTCACTGCGACCTGCTTGCAAAATGGCAATTTGTTGAAGTCCAAGTGGTTTTTTGTGATGCTTTGATTTATAAATTTTCTTGTTTAAATTGTGCAACACATATCCACCTAGATATTGCAAAGCAGCTTTTTCTCTTTCGGATAATTGTTTTTTCTCTGTTATCCTTCCTTCACTTTTTGGAGGTTTCTTGCTGTACACTACCAATTTTTCAGCGAGCTTATTGCAAAGAAGTGTTGCTGCATTTGCACTCAGTTGGTCAAATAGTATAGTTGCTTTTGGAATTATTGTTGAGTAAAACTTTGTAAAAAACTTCTCAACATTGCCTTTTCCAACAAGCAACTCATAATGTAACAAAACCTCATTTAAAATGGTGTCCTGATTGTTGCTTATGTCTGTTAAAACAAATCTAAAAGATTCCAGACTATGGCAGATATCTGTTGGAAAGCAAAGGTCTTCAGAAAGGTCCTTGCAGCTTTCATTCACCATTGTAGCTATACTTTCTCTGCTCAATGATTCTTTGGGTTCTGGTTGCCCTTCTTCCATTTCGGGATGTTTTGATTTTTTATGGCGAGTGAGACCAGTCTTTGACTTGCACTTTTTACTGCAAATGGAGCACTGGAATTTCCCATCTTGGATCTACAGTAAAACAGTATTTGTGATAAGTAAGGTAAAATGATAAAAGTTATTAGTAAGTCATACCTTGAAAACTCTTGTTTTAAATAAGAAACTAAAAATAGTCTCAGATAATGGTGATAAGAATTGACATTTTTTAAACCTTGGGCTGGCCTAAATTTAACTTAGAGCAAGGAAATAAACTCTGATATGATTTAACATTCAAACAGACTAAGCAGGCATGTATATGTTGACAACAAATGGCAATGACACCATTTTGGGTTGCAACATTGGAAGGGTTTTCTGATTATCATAGGAAATATAATGGCATTATTTTCTTTTCAGAAACCCTCCGTGAGCTGACGCTGTCAAACACAATGACTGTCCCTTTATTTAAAATCACTGAATTTGATGCTGCCTAAAGATTTATAACGATGTTTCATTTGCTAGATATTTCAAATCATAAATAATTTAATGTTCAAACTGAATATCTCTGTCGCTCTCCACGTGAATTCAATGGCCTAAGTGGCCTTTTAGCACAAAAACACTACTTCAAAATAAAACAGATTAAGTCGTTAAAACAATGTTTACCTCTTCGACAGTTTCATCTAAGAAAGTTGAAATCTTTTCTTCAAAAAAATCGCTTTCCAATAGATCTAAAATCGCATCTAAATCCTCGCCACGTACTTCGTTCTCGTCCATGTTCGTTTTGAAGATCGGTTGCGTTGCGTGTGCAGGTTCACGCTTCATTAAACAGCTCAGTTGAGTTTTTCAACATCGCTCGCGGCATCCTTTGTAATTACGGAGTTTCCAGACCAGCGTATTTCTATTGACTATGATAACACACAATAACTTCCAAACACAGACAATTCTGGACAGAAGTTAGGAGACATTTGCTTTTATAATCATTTATTGCAAAAGCACCCAACCGCCTGCCCCCAATATAAATGTTGATGTTGATTTTTTAGGATTTCTGGCTTCCACAATCGACTGCCATTACCCACCACCAACATTGACATTAGGGGGAGGGGCATACCACTGGTTTTGAGGGCAATTACGCAGAAAATCACTTAAAAAGTAATTGTCTCATAACTTTTGGCAAGGTTGTAGTTCAAATGGTCATACTCTTCAAACATAAGCCTTAGATTAAACTCCTTCTTAATGTCATTTGAAACCCATGTATTTGCAATTTTTGAAGGGTAGAGCTTCGGCATTGTAATGAGAACACAAGATGGCAGAATTCTTCTGTTAGGTTTACCTAACTTCTGTTAGGTTTCTTCAAGAGAACATTGGCGATAACCTGCCTGATGAAAGACATTTGCTGATATCCATGTTACCAACTCTCAAGTCACATCAAGCTATTATGTTTCACTTCAAGAAAATTCTGTCAAGGCAAGGATTTGTAAAAATACAATATGAAGTCACACATCAGCTCTTTTGAGTTGCCAGACTTTTCAACCTGCTTTGAAATACTGATTTGTTGCAGCATTTGGGCAACACATATCTTCACAAACACCATACTTGCACCAATCTGGGGCGCTGGGCCTGATTATCATCTCACTGAGCGGATTCTCAACCAAAGATATCATTTCC